TGACGAACAGCAAACTAAGAAGGAGTGTTTTCTTTTTTGTTTAAAAGTATGACCGCTCTATTCCCCTCCAAGAAGGAGGAGATAATAATTAATTATACCCCCCCTTCACCTTCTTTCATGTTTATTGGCTCAAGACACCAAATGATGGGCTAATGAGGACAACACAATCTGCACTCCACCTTTTCCCTCTTTTAAAGGCAACTCTTCACAACATTTCAGTCATCGGGATGGTGCTTCAACATCAGCACCTCATTAAAACAAAAAGAAACACAGCTATTCTGATTTATAGTTCTCGCTTGGGGTGTGATGAGAGGTGATGGAAATGATAGAGGAGTAAGAAGTTGTGGAGTTTAAGCCATGCGTAATGAGCCCTACCCTAAACCAATGTGTAGGCTGTCAGATGCATGACACTTGACACCAACCAATCCAAACAGACGCCACAATGCACAAGACTTTGGGCTAAGCGTAAGCAACGTACATGAAGGAGATTCTCCTCCATCGACGGATTGACAAACTCCATCTCTGTGATTGTACCCTCGCCTTCTCCACTTGGTAGTGCTAGCAGCGGTTTCAAACTCAGACAATCGTCTCTGGCAACTGCAGATTGAGCCTCTTGAAGGGTGGTTTGAAGGTGGCGTCTTCCAGACCCAACATCCGAGCGCATAGCATCCAGCAGCGAACGAGTTGGCATTTACCCTACCACAAATGCAAAACAACTCTAGCATTCTATTGAATCACCTAAAATGACAAACACCGCCACCGTGGATGGCAACAATCGACCCATAAACTGCACATTAATTTGCAATGCATTCACTTGGCCCTACTGAGGTCCTCAGTCGCGATGATGAAGTCAGCACTTAACAATCAAATTGTTTAGCAGTTGGCTGTCATAGTCAATCAGGGGTTATTCCATTGCACCCTAATCAAAACAAACTGGATCGCGCTATTTTGGTCACAAGTGGACTCTTCTCTTCACCAATCTCGATACTACACCATTGAGAGGTGCCCTTTTTTCCCTTTTCAATGCACACAGACAGCGTTGAGGCTGTCACACACGTCGATGGCCACTGCCTTTCACACGATGGCAGTACAGATGAAAGGCAACTTGAGATTAGCAGTGGAAAGGGGGATTGGTGATAGACAATCCTCCAAAGATCATCATCGAAGAGTTCACAGAGGGGAGTGAAATTGAAGGCATAAGAAATCGTATCTTAGTCTTCTTGCGTTGTAGGCAATGACAATTTCTTGTTCATCGCGATCCTCCTTCTTCAATGTCGCGTGGACACTGCATGTTGTTGTTGTTTTTAAACAAAATAACTAGAAGGTGGGGCTACCGATACAGTGGATAACGGTGAAGCGAAACGCACCTTCACAACGAAACGACCGACCTCCAGAAAGGGATCAAATGTGCAAACGAGAGTGAAAGTGCACAAAATGTCTCAACATCAAACCCAAACCATGTGAGCCTTGCGGTTGACCGAGGAAGAAGCAAACCCATCAAGCAAGTTAAGGTGGTTGACAGCAGACAAAAACGCAACCATTGAGACACGATTAATCACCAAAATGTCAAAAAAAATCGGTCCCTACGAAACAATCCTCAAATAATTAGGAGTAGAGAATGAGAATTTTGTATTTTTTTACAAGCCAATAGACGATTTGTTTGACCCAACGAACTCTACGCTTCACTTTGTGAGTCCCAACACCTCCACTCACCATTTTGATGAAGCCAAGCCAAAACATCAAGTGGCAGAGGATAGGCAAGCGAGATTAGACATTAACAAACACTTCGCACCAACAATGTGGAAAGAACAAAGCCACTATGTGGTAGTAGTTCTATTCGCCGCGGTACAAGAAGAAGGAGAAGAGGAAGAAGAAGGAGAAGGAGAAGAAGAGAAGAAGAGAATCCCAGAGCAACAACAATATAATCATAACCGTCAGCGCCGTCATTAACATCATCGACATCATCAAAAAGTATGGAACCGCAAAAATAGCAGTGATAGGTAAATAAATAAGTCATTTGTGTCTTCCACACACACACACACACACGGACACACAGACACAGAGACGTGTGCGTGTGTGTAGGGGGTGGTTGAGTGGGTGCATATAATTTCAGTCTCCTAGTATGTCTGCCCACTGTTCGCTAGTCGAACGTCACTCGGATGAGAGAGAGAGAGAGAGAGAGAGAGGTCAAGAGACAAGCAGTCGGAGGAACAGAGGAGGAATAATAAAACCCAATGTTGGCGGCAGAAGGTGGGGAAATGGGGAAGGGGGTGGGGTAAACATTGTTCTCTGAGATCGTCAAAATCGATTGTCCTTTCCTCCCAAATCGGGTCTTTGTGTGTGTTCAAATGCTCGAAAGATGGAAATCTCTATGGGGATGTGGGTTGGTAGTTAGGGTGTGAATGCCTCTGGCTCAAGGCGCCTAGAAAAATAGAAAACAAAGCAAGAGGGGGAGAAAAAAACAAGAACACACACGAAGAGAAAGAGAGAGTGGGGATGGGCTAGGGTGAGGAGAGGGTAGGGGAGGGGAGCGGCAGGGGCGGTAATTGTGTGCAACACTTAGAGTAATCTGGCGAGAAAAAAAGAGAAAGGGAGATGCAGGAAGAGAGGAGAGATGCGAAATCACGAAAGACCTTGAGAGGGAGAAGTAGATCCTTTCTACAGGGAAGATAGACACAAAGTGGGGGAAAGGGGACGGGAGGAGGACGAGTGAGGGGAGTGACCAATAAACAAAGGACGCCACGCGTGATCCCTCGTCTTGCCTCCTAGAATTATGAGTCTACAAAGGAAAGGAGGCAATAATGTTACCAACACCTTGGACACAGAGGCAAGGCGTGTGAAATTTTGATGTTGGAACTTAAGTTTACTCCTCCTCCTTCTTGCCCACGACTCACAAATATCCCAGTCAAGGTCTTTTTACTAAGTAACAATGCCACAACAAGGTCCTTCACTCGCTCGACAGCAAAGAACACTCCTTCAAAGTCCAATTCACCAACACTTGCCACCCCAACTAAGCGGTATGAAAGTAGTTGAAATGACCATGAAGTGCACCAATGACTGCAGTAGCGACGCCAAAATAAAAGGGAAACAACAGAAAGTCAAGTGAATAATTTGGCTGTCAAACTGGGAAATTCAACAATCAATGTCATGCGAAAGAGATTCTCCCAAAGTAAAAAGTTCACTCAAGCAAAAAAAAAAAAATTAACATGAAGTGTTACAATAGGCCACATCGTGAAGACGTACAAACTGAGGTGACTTCCATGGCTTTCAATCAAGCAACCAAGTTTCATTGCATTGCAAACTATTCGCCCAAAATTAAACACGAACTGGAAAACCAAAGAGGTGAAAAAATAAAATTTTCTAGAAGTCACGCATTTGCACACACACGCTGATCAACAAAGCAAAAACTCAAGTCACTACATAAATGTCGAAAGCAAGAACACCAAAAATAGACAAAAAAAAAAAAAGGACGTCCCGACATGGGCGGAAGCGCCTTATCAAAGACAAAATCCTCAAACCTAACACAAATTCCCGTCATCATATGAATCAACGAAAATAACTGTTACCTCCAGAATCAGTTCCGCCAGACACAACCGCCTCAGTCTCAGTCTCTTCATTCGGAGACGCTTGAAGAGCCTGCGTCGAAGGAGCTGGTGGTGGCGGTGGATGCGATAACGGCGGAGCCAAGACCATTGATTCAGAGGGTGCTACCGCACTAATATTTAACACACCATGAGCCGAAAGGGTGGACATGGCGTGAGTGATCTCAGCCACCGCCTCCTCCGAGAATCCTCGCGAACGCAACCAAGCCGCGGTGGCTGTGGTGGCCGGTGTTGTGGAGAGTGGGGAAGAGGCACGAAGAGGAGAAAAAAACGCCGCCGTTACGCCTCCACCTCCACTACCACTGAATGTGTTAATTGCACTAGCAGGAGGTGGAGGTGGAGATGAAGCTACCAGAGGAAAACTGGAGGGATCCAAGGGGCTCTCCAGGCCTGTGGGGGAGGCGTACATTCCTCCCGCCGCCACAGCATTGGGTTGAATAAGAGCGAAAGGTGCAGCAGCAGTTGGTGACTGAAGAATCATCTGACTGGCGGGCAGTAGTGGAGTAGTATAGAAGGAGGAAGAGGAGGATGCGTCCTGTTCGCCGGACGGTGGAGTAAGAGGACTGACAAACCCACCACCACCACCACTTTCAAGACTGCTGCTAGCGCCAGAAGCCTCTCCGCTTTGTGCTGCCTCCATGACACGATGCTGTTGTTGCTGTTGTTGTTGATAACCAGCAGCGAAAAGTCGCTGGTAATCGGCGGCAGCTGCAGCAGCGGCAGCAGCAGCAGCGAAGTAAGTGGCTTGAAGGGCATTGTGGTAGTAGGCACCGGTCATGGGGATTCCTCCGTCACTTTTCTGACGAACAATAGCGGCAGCGGGATGGCGCGAGGGTAGAAGGGTTTGTGTCTGTGGTGTTGGAGGAGGTGCGGGTGTGGTATAGGCGAAGGGAGAACCAGTGGGGTAGGCACTAGCCACTGGACCCTGTGCATGGGAGTAGGAGATCGTTGGACAGGTGCCCGACTGCGGATCCTCCGCTATTTTTGTTAGTACCATGTCAACGGCTGCGCGTAATTGATCTGCTTCACCTAAAGTAACGCAAAAAAAGACGATCAAGCACGTGGCCTTTTCAAGGTCATCGGCTTACACATCCGTCTACATAAGGAACTTGGCAATGGCTCACAGCATCTTCATGATTACATGGATTTATCCACTTCTGTAACAAAACTTTTAAGTACGCCACCTCAAAGAGACGTTGAGCATACGACTTAAAAATCGCAACCAAGAAGATCGTCAATTCATGGCTAGACTTGTTCTTGACACAACTACAAGTCGATAAACAAAGGGAAGAGTTAACTGACGCATCCAATGGAAGCGAACGATGGGATCAAAGGAAAAATTTAAATAATTCACTAAGCGACAAACACTAGCAAGATTACTAAAAAGATGCGCAATGAACTTAACAGGGATCAAGTCAGCATGGGCGCAAATCGTGAATAAACACTAAAGATGAGTGAATGAACTGTAAACAAATGGACAAAAACAATGCGGAGAGGAGACACATACCGGCAATTGTGATACACCGCTCCGGCAGATTGATATCTTTCGATTTTTGAGAGATTTGAATGAACGCGCCTGTAGCCTCCTTGATTTCTGACACGTAACTGCCCTGTTTCCCGATAACCAGGCCTGCGGTGCAGTTGGGCACAAGGATTTTCACCTAAAACGCAAGAGCACTCATGTGAGAGAGAACGTCCGCGATGAATATAATTAGGCATGAGAAAAAATGGCACTTTTATGCCATTAAATTCCCAGTGGTACTCATGCACACACACACACGTGTGTGTGTGTGTGTGTATGTGTGTGCCAAGCTAGTTCCAGCATCACATGCTCAGAACAGAAGGCAGCCTTGGGACTGTCGAGCTGCCGCCGTGCGCGGGGTAAAAAGAGCGGGAGAGTTGGCGAACCTGTTTATGGCGCTCCCAGAGCAAGCGATTGGTGGAGAGAGGTTGTGCGCTGGTGGTACAGACGGCGGCAAGGGGCCATAGGGCGTATCCGGGTGGGGCGATGGCGGGGGTCTCGGCGGCCTGCGGTAGCGCAATGTGACCACTCGGCGTCACAGCGGGCGCAGAGATCTCAGGCTTATCGAATATGCGCTCCATGATGTAATTGTGCATTGCTCTCACGCCAGTTAACGGACCCTGGATCAAACATACGCGCTCCGTTGTGCCTGAGACAAAAAGTTGTACTCACATTGCAAGATTATTAACTTACGAGTGACAACAAATATCTACAGACAGTACTCGTAGTTTATCAACACATCTGTATCCGCTATTTGTTGGGTGTTTGAGCAACACTACAATTGCTGATCAAACAGACACAACGATTGGGACGAGTCTAAACGATAACAATAAAATAAATTAGCAAAGAAGAAAAGCGATCAACGAACCATGTTCCCAACGATAAAAGTCAAATAAATGACAAAAAACCAGCAAGTTTGCATACATTGAAACGGTAATACGGTAAGTGCAACGAACGGGGGAATAAAAGTAGCAAATACTCAATAAAAATGAAAAATAAAACTGAACAGCAACGAACACTCCAAAATTAGACAAACTAAAAAGAGTTGTGATAAAATTAACAAAGAGAACAATACATGGATGGACAACGGCAAGTGATAATTCGGAGAAATAGACACACAAAGAGACCGTATAAAAAGATCAAAAAATGCAACACAAGAAATAAAAGCAAATGTTAAAAAAAGATAAAGGAAAGGTACGGACCAGAAAGACGCTTATAAAATGGTAAGAATGACGGTGGAAATTTCAGCACAAAACTGTGTGTGGTTGCACTAAATTCCGCGAATGAAACTAAGATGCAAATACTTAAGGATTTGTAGACACATGCTAACTCCTAATCGCGAAAAAATTTTCCAAAAAAGTATTTTAAAAGTCCCAGCAGAGCCATTTTGCATGCATATACCTTTAAAGATTTTCTTCATTGAACACAATAGGTATCAGCAAAAAGTGATGACGTCGGGGAATGAGCGTGTAAGCAGAAAATAGGAGAAACAAAAATCTACCTGGGTAAAAGTCATTCAGTTTAGACAACTTGATTTTTGCTCCAGTTTCCCTCTGCATTTGACCAATAGCTTCCCCATTTTTCCCAATAATGGCACCAGCAGCAATAGATGGAACTAATACCTTCAAATAGATCGTGTCTAGAGAAATCGCATAAAATCCCCAAACACAAACCTGAGACACGTTTTGAAGGCCCTTCTTGAGAGGAATCAGATACCTTTGGGACATCTTCGTTGTTCTCATCCATCATAGCAAAATCCCGAACTAATCCCGCATATTATCGAAACCAATTGGTATCATGAAAGTGTGAAAGTGTGCAAGTTAAGCGATAGATTTATATATATCTTAGACATTCATGATCATCGTAAATGAACAGAGAAGACTGCCCAAAGGGACAAAAGCGCTCAGCTGATAGAACGCAGCTGATGGAAAACTAATCCTCAATTTAGAACATTTAAACGAGACGTAGAGATTTTGCCCGTAATTAACAGTTGTTTACTCAGATGCATAGCTGCGCCAAAAAAATCAAGTCTTCCAAGTTTGAGTGATTATTAACGGCCGCTGACATTTTTGGAAAAATTGCTTATATTATTTTAAATTTTGTGATGGATTTTTAACACTAACATTATTTAAAATTTAGTTTCGTACTTGACATGAAACCCCTTAAACATTTTAGGCGCAACTGGTGAAATTCATTTTCTCATGCTCTTAATAACCCGCATGGAATTACCCCCCTTCCAATATATTCGAGCTTTGTTGCGGTTTTTTTTACTACCTCTAAGCAAGCAGTTAAGGCATCAAGCTCCTTCTGTTTGAACCAACTCAAGTTTTTAGCCTTCATGTGCGGCGGGAATGCGGTCCGTGAGTCGGAATGATATTTGTCCACTGGAACGAGTTTCGATGGAAATAGGCATTGCTGATGAAATAACCTAACAAATACTCACTAGGCGTCCGTCTCATTGTCGATCATGGATAGGAGTCTTACTTGCCGGTCCTTAATTGTTTCCTGGTTAGTGCGCTATAGAGGTTGTGAATAACCTCGCCCTAGGTCTTATCATTCCGAGATACCTGGGAACTAGAGGTGGGTCGCCTTCTGCCCCACATTAGCATTATTCAAATGTCTCCCAGTCTCTCCTGCGGAAATCTTCGACCAGTAGGATGAGCTCATCAATTAGCTTGCCTGAATATCCTCACGAAACAACAAAATAAACCGCGCATACCTCATTTCGAATATTGGGTTCTCCATGAATTTCGGTCCTTTTTATACGATCGAATTAGTGCTGTTTTATTAAGTAATGGCGATTGCTGTCCTTACTGGAAGACACAGACGCGCTACTGACTATGCATCCGAACTGACTTCTACGAGATTTCCATTGAAGCAACAATTTCCCCATTTCTCTCCCTCCCCCCTCCGAAATAAGAAGCCCAATGAGTCCCTCTACCTATGTTAGGTTGGAGAGTTAGGCAACCCTGCTGAAAGTTAAATGCTATGGTTTGCGATTCTACCATGCAGGCCTAATCTTGCACCAAAGGCAACTCCAAAATAAGCATAAAATGAGGAGCAATGCAGCGCATCCAGGACGACCAACAGGTAGCATCATTGGCGCAAACAAGGCATACGAGGACGAAAGGTTCCACCTACCTGCAAATCGAGGTGTCAGCACGAAGCTCAGGAAGTTTATTAATACAGTATGATGCGAGTCGTTGCATAACAATTCAACTGAGAAGAGTAACGAAATACGAGTAATGGAAAAGAGGAGGGTCAGCAGGAATTATGGGTCATATGGAGGCGCTCCCTATCCTTGAAGAAGCTTTTAAGTATGGACAACTGAGCTACAACCGTAACTATGATAATTACTGAAACAGCCGTGCTCCAGATGGTAATATGAGAGAGCAGTTCATGGGCAAAGATACGGTCCGCGGTCAACTTCGCACGCAACTCCGTCTGGTAGCTTTCGGAGACAGAGAGATGTTCATGAATGGTTTCTGCGAGAGTTCCAATCATTGAACTTGGACCGGATCCAAGAAGACCAGCTTCCTCTCTGAGTGATTCATCTAGCCTGAGTTCGAAAAAAATACGCTTCGGAGACATAGGAGGGAACCGGTTATGGAAGCAAAATGAGTAGTCACCGTCCGCAGTTGCCGTCAGCCCAATCGTCTCATGAGGACTTTCCTCCTTCTTAACAATTACATTCGTGTTAGGATCCCTAATAACAACCTCGACGTCACTTGAACTACCCTTCAGTACTTGAAACATAAAGCTGCACTGTTCTTGTTTCTCAAGTTTCTCATAAAAGCAGAGCTTTTCCGTTCCTGGAAGCTCGAAAGTAAGTTGTTTCGGAAAACAGTCAACAAGAACAGTAAGGAACGAAGCTAAAATTGTAAACAGAGTACCAACAAACAGCCTCATCTTGATAAAGTTGGAGAAACCGCCCCAATGAGACGGGCCATACAGCGCGTTGGACTTCAATATGACCGCTAGCAATCTCACAAGAACCAGTAATGCAATGTAATAAAAGCTGAGAATAGGCCTAAAGTGGTGGAGTTTTGCAATGGAAAGATGTTATATGTGCTTACTTACTGGTAGGCGTAAAGATTAATCCTAAATAATTCGATGCTTAATTCAACATCGTCATATTGCACTAATCGCCTTTTTGAGCATTCAAAAAAGTAAAGATTATTTACACAACTAAAGCTCTACAATAGCTTTGCCAGCGCTATTTGAAGATTGATTCAGACCACCATCTTAAAAGCACTGATGTCAAAACCTTTCAATTGTTGCATTGACGTAACTTAATCATAGCCAAAAACCTATAATTATAATGAATTGAATTTTTACAATTACTGCATCATGTGCACCTTATTTTTTGTGGGATATGCCTTTCAAATATTCCGGCATATTCAAATAGTCGAAGTTGACCTGTGGGCATGAGTCTTACCGACAGGCTTTGGCGGAAAGTAAATTCCAATCTTGCGGATTTCAATTCATGGGTTAATTTACTTGATGCAGCTGAGAAGCAGGTGCGCTATTGTTTTCTAGTTTATCATTGAGATACGCGGTTTGCTAATTGGTGCCATCCATTGCTGTAGCCAAATATTGACGTTACGCGCAAGGCCTTTGATGCCTTTTTATTGCACTTTCCTTACTGTTATGGATACTGGAAAAAGTATGCTAACGTCGAACGTCACCTGGGCAACAAGGATCGTTGCTTAAAGGTAATCATTTTATGTTGTGTCAGTTAATCCTGCGAATGTCTTATTTCACGAAGTCCTAAATTCAGTACTTGCCTTGATGTCTTAATTCATTTTGACAGCTTTTATTTTTTAAAGCATCGTTATATTAGTTGACTTTCACTCATGTTATGTGAACCGCCTTTCACTTTAGATCTTTGAGATGGGCGTCCAGGCCATCCCTTTAAGCATTGACTTGTGGGTGGCTTACCTGGACGCAAATCTGGAGATTATTCATGGACAGGATGATTACGAAATACGTATGCGCAGGTTGGTGCAGTAATTTATTTCTGTCGTGCGCTTTTGACCTAAATCTCGAACCTTTTTGAGCTTATTACGAAGACGTGCGAGTTTCCAAGTGTTATCTATTAAGGCGTGATGCTCTTCGCCTTACATATTGTGCATGATGTGTGCTTAGCTCTTACTGAATATCGCTTTTTTAAGTAAGACGAGTAAATATAGCTGGATTTTCTATTTTCAGTCTTTATGAAGTGGCTCTGGAAAAGGCGGGTCTTGAGTTCCGTTCGGACCCTCTTTGGGAACACTACATAAGCTGGGAGTCCGGTCACAATCGTTTGGGGCGCGTTTTGGCCATCTATGATCGTCTTCTGCGCACGCCGACTCAGCTCTACTTTCAAAATTGGGACAGCTTTAAGAAGATGATTGAGGAGAACCGACCTGAAGACTTCTTGCCATTGGGAGAGTTCGCTGAACTCTTGGCTAGAGTTTCTCCTGTCGCTGGCACCGCAATGCGTATAGCTTTGAGTGATCCCAATTCGGCTCCCTTATCTATTCCAGATGTAGAGTCTACTTAGTCTTCTATTGCGTCTGGAAAAGCTTGTTCTTCGTGAGTTGTGCTGTTTTTTTAGATTACTGATGCTGATCGTAATGCAATTCGGAAACTGGTTATTGATCGTCGTGAGAAGGTCTATCAAGCAACGTACCTACAGATCATGAAGCGATGGTTTTTTGAGGAAAAGGTACGCTTTTTATATTGGGTACAAACTGTACTAAATCGGAATTTATTGCATAATGATGGCATATGGTCTAGTTTTTTTTATTGATTGACAATCACGTTTAAACTACTTTTAGTCTTCGCCTCATCGCATGTTCCGTTTAAATGTGTTCTAAATGTGAATTTAACAGTCAAGATATGATTTTGTAATCAAAGCAGATTATTCTACCTGAGTCAGTGGTGTTGAATCTTTACGCTATTTCGATGTTTGTATTTAATCGCATGCTTGTTAAATTAGTGCTTATTTGGTGCTTAAATCGTCGAACAGTTGTAAATGCTGTCAATGCACCGGCTTTCACTTATTTATCTTTGGATGAAGCATTACCACTTCACTCCGGCTGTGATTAAAAAAATTTGTGGTTAATGCTGCACCACTTCATCCTTATTGTCCAATTTCGCGTGCGCTCAAAGAACCTTGTTCAACCCTTACAGACGCTTGCCTAAGCGCTACTTTTGACGCATGGTTAGCTGTAGCAAGTCTGGTGCTCATTTGTTTGTGTCGTTTCAAAGAATCGTTTTCAATGTAGATCCGTCGTCCCTACTTCCACGTTAAGCCGTTGGAGGAGGCGCAGCTCAATAACTGGTCGGAGTACCTCAGTTTTGAGGAGTCTGAGGCTGCCAGTGCGGAGGCCCTCTTAGCGGTGCCAACGACAGATGATTTTTCCGCCGCGCAGATTACCCTTGCGGACGTTCAGTTAGCTAAAAAGCGTGTCCGCGTCCTCTATGAACGTTGCCTCGTCGCGTGTGCTCTCTATGAGCATATGTGGATTCGCTATGCCAAATACCTCGAGGTGTGTATGTTCGATCTTGTCCTTTGTCACGCTTTGTGTTACATTTCCTCTTTATTTGACTTCTTGTCCTTCTAATAGCAAAATTTTCACCACGGTAGATTGCTACATTTCCGTAACCTTTTCCAGCTTTCATTTGGTGGCAACATTTGCGACCCATGCCAAACGCGTACTATTTTACAGAAACCTGACGATTTTTTTTTATTATTTCTGTCCTTACCGTAGTTAAAGATGTGATCTGTATGGTTCGATTCTTCTCACTGGAATTGAAGTGACGGATTATTGCAAGGCAACTTAACAATCTCCCACAAAATTGAAACAAAGCAATCTTTTTATTAGCCAGTTAACTTAACACTGATCTGAAATTTTACCAATTTAACGCCGAACACTTGCCCCTTCAGGTTCTCATTCTAGCGGTACCTTGGGGGAAGGAAGTCTGTTAGTTCTTCTGTTAGCAACGTTACAGGTGCCTTTCACGGTTAGGGTTTTAGTTGCGCGCACTTACACCATCCAAGCTTCCCGACATCATTGAAGACTTCCCAGAAAGTTCTATGCTCGCTTGCTTTTGTCCGAAGCAGTCATAGCTGGATTTCCTCTTTCACATCGTCCTTGTAACCAATGCTACTTATCGCCTTTAGGTGAATACTTTTGCAGGACTATCGGGTCTACCATCCGGCGTCTTTCGTACGAACAAGAGTAGTAAAGGTGCTATGTTGAATGCAGAAAATGCAACACTTTTTGTTTAATAGGAGCAACTAGTTGCGTTTTCAACGCCATTGCAACTATTTAGCGCTCGCTGGCTGATGTGCTGGCTCTTCAGACACTCACTACCAACGTCAACTCGTCCATTTCCTTCACTGCTTTCGATGGCCTATCAGATGACTCAGAGCCGATTATTCTTAAACCAGTCTGTAGAAGGTTCCAAAGTAGACGAAGGTTTTGCTTTTAAAAGTAAAAAAATTGGCCCCGGAAACCGGACGAAAGTTTGAATCGGTCTTTGCCGACCCTAGGACCGACAACGATACAAACATAAAGCATTGCACTGAAACATCAGCGACTGTGTGCCAGTCTACAGTGGTTCCGCAATTGTACTTTTCAAATTCTGCTTCGCATTATCGCTCTCGGCTTAATAACTGACAAGAGACATTCGACGCTGAATTGTCTACCTTGTCTTCCTCCCTCGAACCCGTCGTTGGAATGCACAAGATGGAGGCATTCAACGTTCATACTGGACCAATGTTGCGATTGTCTTTATTTCCGTAATGCCTTCAATCATGGTAGATGCAGCACTTTCTTTGAATCCTTTATTCCTGCTTCCTTTGTTTCTGAATGTACCATGTTCAGGGTTATTCACGGTGGTTCATAACATTTGCTTTGGCTCTTTTTAACTGGATAATGTCTGTTTCTCTCAACTATGTTTCACCCAACCCTTCTAATGCTATCATTTTACTTTCCAAAGTACCATTTTGTTTGTGGAAAGAACGGTTAAAATGTTTTACATGTTTTATAAAGTTATCCTCACTTTTGTCCGTGTCGTTTTAGTGGGCTCAGAGTTCCCGTTGTAGTATGCAACACCGGTTTTTCATCTGAGTTTATTTAGAGGTGCGCAGAAGCTGTGACTTGAACCTAATCGTTTTTATTATATTGCAGTTTACAGAGCAGGATATTCGGAGTGCAAGGGAGGTGTGGCGTCGAGCATGCGGAGTGCATTTGCGCGCCAAACCCACCATACACTGGCATTGGGCTCTCTTCGAGGCACGCCATCCTGCTGAATTGGATGAAAATAATGGTGATTGTAAGGAGGTTGTCAAGTCTCTCACCCCATTGGAAATACTTACGCAACTTGAGGAACGTCTGATTGACAGTGCCCTTGTCTGCGCTCGTCGTGCTGACGCCATGCGTCGCGAAGGAAAGCCGGTGAGTTTGCCTCACACCTACCATTTTAAGTTCCACAAGCAAATTGCTAAGACTGGTGACATTTTTACCCAGTGAACACAAGAGTCGTTTTAAGTATTGCCGTCAGCACTTTGCTTGTCTCGTCTCATTGATGCAGTTTTAATCACCTGTGATCATGCGTTGGTCTAAATGTTCCTAGAGTGGTTAGTAATGCCCTTTTGGCTGTTCTCGTCAGCTCCTCGATCTGATTGTGTGTCTGCGCTCGGGCATAAATCGTTTGCGTGTGCGTGCCACTGAACAGACAAGTCTCGCGCATACCGTCACTGGTGCCACTGCCTCTTTCTCGGCTGCCATTGCTCTAGCAACCGCAGCTCAGGCAAGGGCGGGAGCCAGCTACCTGGCTAGCAAGTTGGCTCGCCTACTACATCGCAATGTGGACAATCTAGTACCTCCAGAGGGACTTCCAGTCTGGCAACTCCTCTTGAAATCCTCCTACAAACCCACCAGTGAGATTACCAAGACCACCTCTAACTCGAGCTTGATCAAGGAAGAAGGCGAACCGGAGCTAGTGCCTTCAGTGAGTATTTCTTTGTTTGTATTTCTCAGTCATCTCACAGGTAGAAGTTGTCTTTCATTTGATCACATCTTGTCAACAGTTAGATCAAGTTGTCATTAGCAATACATCAGTATTTTAAAGCACTATTGTAGATAAGGCTACTTATTTTGTGCAGTTCAGTTATGCCTCATTTGTCCCCTCATGATACAGAGCCTTCGTTTACATGATTGTTTCAATAGGTCGAAGCAGTAACTGAGGAGCCTAAGAAAGGACCACCTGAAGTAGTAATTGATGTGGCAACTAGTGCAGAGGTGGACCAACAAAATGAAGAGGAGGAAGAGATGGAGGTGGAAGATGTGGAGCAAAATGAGGCTCCCCAGGAATCCGTGAACGCTACATCCACAAAGATGGATTGTGGTGACGCAAGCGTAGGCTCTGACTCGCCTCCAGTTGTAATTGGACGCAAGAAGAGTGCCTCGGTCGGTGGAGCTTCTAAGGTATGTCTTTCTCCTAACTTTATGTAGGAAGTCTGTACAATTGTATGTGTTGTTTTGAGTCACCTGTGGGATGGATACTTTTTCATTAAGGTTGCTTATTGTCGGTATTTTTGTCAGTCTGCTCAGGGTTGCAAGAGGACGCTGGAAGGGACAGAGGTTCCGGCCACATTGGCAGCCCCGGAGAGCAGTGGTGCAGGTGGAGAAGGTGAAGACGAGGGAGTAGAGCCGCAGGCGAAGAGGAAACGTCGCTCTCGTTGGGGCGACGTGGAGGGCGAGACGGACCGTGACTTGGCGAACCTGCGTGCGGCAGAGGCTGCAGCGGAGGCGGAGCGACTAGCACGCGCTGATCGTGAACAGCGTGCCTATGCCTCAGAACGCGCGGCCATAACTAACGTCTGTCCGCCCTCTGATCCCTCAACTTTGCCAGAAGATCAGCGCCGCCTTATCTCACCTGAGGATGCAGCTCTTGCAGTCCTTCGTGATGCCATTGATTTTGATCCGGTATGCTTTTCACTGGTCACAAACACATAATTTCAGGACTTATGCCTTTCTCCCCGTTGTCTGTCATTTCTAATAATGGTAAAAGGCGTTAATGACTTAATGTACTTCTCGCCCCTACATAGCGTAATGAGCGCCTGTACGCACAGCTGCTGGATATAGCTTACCAGCGTCGGCCCCTCGATGTGGATGGTTTCGTGGAATTTGCCAACCTTGCAATTGTAGACTCCATCCTCCCCGCCACGATTAAATTGGCCTTTGCGCAACGCAAACTTCAGTACCTCGAGGAATTCGGCAGTGACATCAATAAGTAAGCATACATTCGGACTGCTCAATCATAAAATTTTAACACACCAAATACCGAAATTTCTAAAGGCGTTTCGATTCGATAGCAATTGTCTGTGAATTCGGTTAATGGAGTGTAGCCTCTCCATCTTGCAGCGCTAAATCGCTTCCGCTGTAAGTTCTTACGCCATCCCGGTTAGAAATATTGATGGTGCAAGCTCTTTCTTAACTTAGCATCAAACTCACATCTCTATGCAATTTCAATGAGGTAATGCCCATGTGTCGTGGCCGCGCATTAGTCGTTGATGCCTTGTTATTTTCAAATACCAAACGTATTTCTTCTTTAAACTCTGCATCAAGAAGCATCAATGCTGTTTGTTTTGCCTTTTGTCGTGAATCGAAGAGCGTTTTATGCAAATGTTATTGGCAGATAAGCTCATGTCCCTCATCCTGCCTAATTTGATATGTTAGTGGTAAAACGGCAAGAACGAGCAATCAGTAAGTGCGTTCTTTCAAAAGCATGCTTCTATACCCATCTTTGTAGGATCTCGGCCGCATTTGATGAGTATGTACAGTTGGCGCAGCTAGTGGTCCAGTGCACCAATACCGGCGCTAGGGATACAGTAGAAGATATTAAAAAGCAGCAGCAACAACAACAGCAGTCTACCGGAGTGGACGCTTCCATGGCCTACACTACACCTGATCTGTTAAATGTTACACTCCCGGCCCCATTGCGTCCTTCTGCACGTCGCAACCCCGTACCGAATGGTCCGGTGCGTCGGATGCCGCAGATGGATATCGGAGCTGCTATCCTGGCGGACGCGGCAGCAGTTGGCACCCCACTACCGCCTCCATCGTCCGCGGATACTGCCGCCGCTATTCGTTTCACTGCTGGTGCCTACGAACCTCTGGCAGGAGCCTCTGCTGGCTGTCTCCCTCCTCCCGCACCCACTATGGTCCCCATCGCTGCTGGTGCTCTCCCTGGGGTAGGCAAATTTTTTCAGCTTTATTTCTCACTTCCTTTATTAGCTTCTCTTGGGCGGCTTTTCTTCTATTCTGCTCCGTAATTTGGTAGAAATTATAAAGCTAAGTGGATTTCGAGATCGTCTTATGCCTGTAGTCTTTTGCAGACACAAGCTGAGACCTCGGAATGGGGCTTTCAGGCTAGCAAATGATATCATGCAGCTCCCAAACCGCAGTAGTAAATGTCGGAGAAAAGTGTGAGTAAATAACCTCTCTACTAGGAAAGCTCATCTCGGGGATTGTAGTCAATGAACATG